TACATATTATAACATAAAATATATTTAAAATATATTTCTGTGGCCATATTTAATGAAAATCAGATGAGAAGGGAGCCATACATAGTTAAATCTAATGTGGTAGAGTCATAGAGGAAGTAGTTAGGGAAGCAAGTGAGTCTATCATAACATCTTCAAACTGAGACAAGATATTTTTGTGGAAAACATCTTTGGATCAGTACAACCAAGTCACGACAAAGCAAGTGTAACACTGTGGCCTGTGATACACAAGAAGATTAAATAATTTAATGATCTAAACTGGTCTTTGAAGTTTGTGAATTTATTTGCTATAGCCAAATTGAGGAAATCAAATACGTTTTTGGTCTTTCTTCCTTTTGCAGCTCGCATCAGATATTTATAGCTTTGCGTGTTCCTTATGGAATCATCATACTGATACGTTCCTGCAACAAGCTTTTACAGGGGATGAAGCAGCAGTCACAAATTCTCTAGAAAGAACCTTGTTGTCATTGAAAGGTAATAATATAGATTGATGTTAAATACACGGAATCAATTAAGTTTCTTCACAGTGAACAAGGAAGACTTCTTTGGTGAAGAGTTAGCATTCTTTGATAAAGCTGTGCCTACTGGGAAGACCAGTGATCTTGGTTGATTTAGCTCGGTTTATTTAGCAGCACAGGAGGAGGATTTTTCACACAGAAGTGGGAGAAGGTGCTCTTGTTTCTCTATGTGTACCATTCTACTACATGTCATAAGGAGTCCAAGTCTAGGAGGTGGGAGAGTGGAGGGCATAGCAAGATGCTTTGTGCGTTGTAGTTTAGGGTTGCATCTGTCTGTCTTCAGGCGCTTAACTCAGGAAGCTGAGCTGTGAGTTTTGTTGTGTTAAATTTACCTTGGTACAGTGATGAGGTAGCTTTAGTAGTCACTTTAGATCTCAGGTTGATCCTCAAGTACTTATCGCTGGGATGAATATGTATCCTCATTGTACTTTGCTGCTTTGAAAATTTGAGGTGCCTCTGTGTGTTGCTTTGCAGTGTAGATGATACTTTTCTTGATTTGCTTCAGAAGGTGCAGCATGCTAGTTGTCCTAAACCTGAGAAAATTCATAAGATGGCTTGTGGCCCCTGGTTGACTTCACTTGGCCCTTTTCCTGCTCTAAAACCTTTCAGAGGTTGAATAATGAGAGCTTTGGCAGAATTTTTCTCAATTCAGTAATTCTCAGAATTATTTTCATTAATCTACACATAATGTACTGAATTTTTAAGTAATTTCAACAAGATTAGACTCATGGTGGAGGCATCCGGAGGCCCAAAATTGTATTTATTTTTTAATATGGAAAAGTGGAGGAAAAGCACAGCAACCATAGTTGTAATCATATTCTGAAATCTGTTGGAAGAAGGGATGTAAAGTATCTACCCAGTAATTTTTTTTTTTTTCCTAGTGCTTCGTAAACTGACAGTCCATGGATTTGAGGAACCTCATGGGCGTGTAGAGGTGATGGTAAGTGACAATCTGTTTTTAGTTCTGGGTTAGAAATCCTTTGTGGTCATTTCAGGTGTTGTTAGAGCTATGTTTAAAAATCATTGAAAGGCACACATTAGTGTTAAGTGAAAGAGGATCAAGCAACACACTTTCAAAGTTGTGGTCCTACCAGTTAAGAACTGTCAGATCCTAGATAGATAAACACCGTGACACTAATGGTGTAATGTTTAAAAACCAGAAAAGGTACCCTTTACAATTTAATTTACCAAATGATAGTGGTGGTCCCTTTGCCTACTAAAAGATGTCTTGTATGTATTCTCCGCCATCATTTGAAGAGGATGTTTTTGTTTAATGATGAAAGTAAAAGTGTATTTGTCCTGTCAAATTCTATTGATAGAATTTGTCTAATTGAGATAAAAGCCTGTGGTATGCAGCCCATGCAGTGGGCAGAAAAAATAAAGAGACTGAAGCATCTCACTTAACCCCAAACACTGCGTGTTTTGCTGGAGCAGACTGGTACCTACAGCCTACATCCTGAACCTGGAGTTGAGAAAGGAAAGAACTGGATAAGCAGATGGTGAAGCATATGTCTCTGTTTACCTACACCTCCTACTACAGATGCTATGCTGCTTGTGTGGTACTAGTAAGGTTCTTTTGGATCATCTATGCAGTCTGCTAGCTAACTACTTGTTTCATGAAGGAATTGTTCATGTAGGGTATTCGGTTCACTCTAATTGGTAAGGTGATGTCTGAGCTGGTAATGCATCTGAACTGACTTAAGTTTGTCTCAGCTTTCTTCTCATAGCACAGTGCAAAATAAGCTTAATCTTTAAAAGCAACACATACTTTTACTTTTTTCAGGGTTTTCTACATGCAGTGTTTGAACGGCTGAAGCAGTTTCTGGAGTGTTGTAAGTATCTGGTTATTTTTCCTTGTGTTGTTAGGGTTAGAAGCTGGATGAAAACCTACAGTTTAGTGCATCGTAAGTAATCGTTTAGGTGCAGGGTATTTTTTAATAAGCACAAAGCTATTACTTTAAATGATGCCGAAACTGTTGAAAAGGACCAGTAAAAATGTTCTTCTATGTCAACAGATTAAAATCCCATGAAAGTTGGCACAATAACGCCAACGGAAATTAAAAAAATCTTAAGCCATGGGTTTGACAAAGTATCCACATTAAAATATTTGGGTGCTACTAAAATCCAGATCTTGAATTTTCTTCTTTGGGAGAGTTGATGTTTTTACTTTTTCCTGGAGTTTGCCTTATTTTTTTGTACATGTCAGTTGGGAAGGAAGACCACATTCAGCTCTCTGTACTTTATAACTGGTCGAGTAGTAGTCTGAGACAAGCAACCACATGTTTATATAGTTGACAAAAATATAAGCATGATTGGCAGGTGTGTCAGCCCTAGCTTCTTCAGGGAAGTTGACTGGAGCAAGAAAAAAAAAGATGTTTGACAGTGTTACATCTGAACTCATTCCTCTTTTCTTGCTTATACATTTGTAGTAGACCTGGAAGAAGCCATTCATTCTGTTAGGTCATTCTTTTTCAACAATCCTTTTTGTGAGAAAATACATCTAAACTGAATAGAATAAGCTTGTGATATAAATGAAGGTACTTGTCTCAGAGGCCCACACTTACCAGAGAGAAGCTGATCTGAACTTGGAACCTCGTTTCTAGAAAAGATGGAAACTCTCTCTGTGTTTGATGATAGAATAAAATACCTTTTTTGCTCTTCTAAAATGCAGACTTCTTTGTTTGTAACTGTTTATCCCTTATAATATACCATAGTCATATTCTTTTTGGCAAGATAGTTGACTAGCTGAACCTTCCTTTTCTTACCAGTAAGTTCTTCTGCAAAAGCAGTCACAGCTACCTTACAAAATTGTTGCTGACATTTATTATATCACGTATTTTGCCTCTATACATTCATTCTGTCTCTTTTTGTTTTTCTCTTTTTGTTTTATTAAAACTTTGGGATTTTTGTAAATTCAGAATGTTTTCTAGTGTCCATAGTTATTGTTTAAGATGGATGTCCTAGAAAAGCACATAGTATTCTGTAGTAAAAATATACCATAGTTTTAATAAAAGGACATTTCCGTATTTTAAATATTTATCTATGCTAGCATTTGCTAGCATTATTTTTACTGTCTTTTAACACTGAGTTGTCTGTAATAGTGTCTTGTTTGTTTTTTTTTGTGTCAGTTACAGTGAATTTTGCTGCAGCTGGGAGAAGTAGTTAAAGGTTTATTTTTTCTTCTTCCCCCAGTACTCATTACATTGAATTTGACTTGGAATATATTCTGCTCTAGAACTTTTTTTCTGGCTACTGTAGTCCCTGAATTAAAGATAAAACAAGTTATTCTCCAGTGTTAATTTTTTAAAACTTAGCCCTCCAGAAAAAGAAGGAAAATCTGAAAAAATTATAGTTGTTAAATATCTTATTTACCAGGTAGAAGTATAAGAGCGGAAAACGTGTGCAGAGATCGTCTAGAAAAGACTATAATACTGTTCACTAAAGTGGTAAGTAAATTCTCCTTCCAGTTACTGAATAGTTCAGTGTTCTGGAGGAGCAGTCCCCATACACACACCTATGTGCCTTAAAGCCAGTAGGTTTCAGATCTTCAAGAAGTGGAAAATAGTGCAACCTAAAACTTCCTTGTTGTGGAGTATATTTTTGAAGTTTTTTTTTTTAAGAAAAGGATGTCTTTTTATTCATGCTGATAAAAATTGCAGGAGTAACGAGTACATTTCCTTAGCTCAAAAAAAGTTAAATGCATTCCATAAATTGATTCTTTAGGTAGGGCTTTGCTCAAAGAACAATTCTGAATTTTTTCTAAAACATTGCGATGAGCATGATGAATAAAAGAGATAAATTTGTCATCCTGTATTTTATAAGTAATTAGCTTGCTATTTCTAAGGCCTTGTTATTTCTGCTGAATAACTTGCCACTTTTAGTTTGTTGAAAGAAAATGAACAAACTCATACCCTCTGTAACTTTTGTATTATATAATGCATTTGGAGTTGTCAGCTAGTTCTGTGCAATCATTAATTGTGCACATTATCAGAAGGTAATTGTAGCATTTTCACTTGCTCTGTTTTAAAAGATATAAAGCCTACAGAATTCCCATTGTTTTCAGAATTTATTTTTATTTAAATATACAGCCTGATTGTCAGAAGTGGGAGGCACCTGTTACCTTCAGAATTGAACTGAAGATGCTCTGACCCAACATTTTTAGTCTTTGTTGCAGTAGTTCTTACTCTGAACTAACAAGCAAAGTCTGTTAGGCATGTGCACCTTTTTTTCATAGACTTGAAGAGGAAATACACTTTAATAGATAATTACCTGTAGAAATTCAGATGCAAGAATTTAGGCTTAGGCATTTTTGCAATAGTAAGAGAGGTTAAAGGAATTGACCAGTGCATTCTAGACCACTAGCTGGAAAAGCTGAACTGAAGAAGCAAGTGCTTGTACTGTAGTGGAGGGGGAGAAGAAAGGAAGAAAAAGTTATTTCCCTCTTGCCTCTTTTACTTATAATTCTGATAGGGATGAATTATCTGCTAAAATGTTCAGAGTTTTAAGTATGGCTGTTAAGTTTTCTTATACTGTGTTGCTAAGTGGCATGGTCTAGTTGAAAATAGACATTGTTCCTTAAACTTAAAAGAAAATCTAACTTTTGAACATGAATGGGGAGTTTCAGAGCAAAATAATGCTTCATTAACCATTGATACTGATCTCATTCTAATTTCCTGTCTGTCTTCAGTTTTCTATAATATCGTATAAATTTGAACTTTGTTTTGATAAGTAGTTTATGATATCATTTAAGGTTTGCACAAAAAGTGATTTAATTTCTTTTTCTTGTTCTTCTGCTTACTTAATTTGTAGCTTTTGGACTTCCTGGACCAACATCCCTTTTCCTTTATCCCTTTGGTTCAGAGGTCTCTGGAGTTTGCTGTGAGCTATGTTTTCACAGAGGCTGGCAAAGGAATTGTTTTTGAGCGGTTTATTGTACAGTGTATGAATCTCATTAAGATGATTGTGAAAAATTATGCATACAAGCCATCCAAAAATATTGAAGGTACTGCTCCTATTTACTAAAACCATCTTTTATACCTTGAAACAATTTTCTAGTTGTTCCCAACAGTAAAATTCCCGTAAGCCATTCTTCTAAAGCACTTAACATTTAAGAGTCATATGTTTCTGTCTATATATTAATAATACTTATTTTGATGGTTAAATTATTATTTTATAAAGATATCGACTTCCTAAAGTAATTTTAAATACAGAAAGAGCATGAATATAATTGATGATTGTTTTAGTTGTTATTGAACTGATTTTAAAAGGTATTGAAGTATGGAAGTTTATTTTCCTTAAATGGTTTCATCCAACTTGCCTTGAGAAATGTTTGATAAAATGGGGTGTTTGCTGTGTTTGACTAATGCCAATACTCAAAATTACAGAAACCCAGCAAATTTGATGTGGAGTTGAATATAGAGCAGTTTGTGTTCTGCTTTGTGTTTCATTCTGAATCTTCAAACATTGCTGTATGTATGGATAATGCAAAGTCAAGGGGTAAAAAAGACAACCAACCAAACTAAATCACCTTCTACATTAGTTTGACATTTGGCAATGACTAGATAACAAGTAGCATTCTAAATTAAAAAAAAAAAAAAAAATTGTGTTAAAAAGACTGCACAATACTGGCATTTAAAATTCTTCAAAATGTTGATGTATTTCAGTGTTACACCATAATTTTATTTAGGAAATCAGGATGTCCTAAATCCACTGATGAGTAAGAGAATTTTCTACTTAGAAAATTTCATAGCTGTGTTTCAGTTCTTGAAATAGAAATGTGGGCCCTTGCCACAAGACTATAGTACATTCTGATAAAAGCTATAGGACTTGACTTTTTGAGAACTGAGAAGATGTATTTTTCATAATTTCTGACTGACATACAGTGTTTTAGTTTTATAGCATACAGTATTTTATTTTATTGCTGCTTTCTTTAACTAATATTAACTCTTAAAGAAAGCAGATTCTTTTAAACATTGTATTTGCTTAAAGAAACTAGTTTGGTTCTGAGCTTTCTTGGAGTTCTGTGTGTTTTTACAATCAGTAATGCTAAATTAAAAAAAGAAAAGTCAAAAAAAAGGTAAACAGTTTTTCTTCTTGTCCACATAGTAGCTGAAAAGTGTTGTAAATATTTTGTGAAGCCCTAACAACCCTTGAGTCTAATTGTGCTGTTAGAGAACACCCTTGAAGTAAATTAGTTTAGGAGATTGACTTGCTTAAAAAAAGTTTGACCATTAAGCCACTTACCTGTAATTTGAAATTTTCTGTTCTATTTTAGATAGCAGTCCTGAAACTCTTGAAGCACATAACATCAAGACAGCATTTTTCACATATCCAACACTGACGGAGATATGTAGGAGACTAGTCTCTCACTATTTCCTTCTGACAAAGGAAGAACTTACCATGTGGGAAGAGGACCCAGAAAGCTTCAGTAAGAAACATGTTACACTAACAGCTAAATAAACTGCAGCCAACTACACAAGAGTTTCACATACACATTGGCTCAACAAATTCCTTACTGCTATATTGACTGTTTTGTTTTATAAACAAATGTCCCCTCTAGACTTTGTTTTTTTAACGAGATTTCTCAGTAGTCTGTGGTACCCACATATCTAAATACTAAACTTTATTTCAATTGTAGTTGAAATAATACTTTATTTTCTTTGTGAAATAATAGCTGCAGAAGAGACAGGAGGTGATTCTTGGAAATACAGTCTCAGAGTAAGTGTTTGAATTTGAAAGAAAACCATTCAACTTTTCTGGATGCATTTTTTGATAGTCTTGTAATCAAGAGAGGTGATATGCAGTGTAAAGATAAGCTTGTGCTTTGCAAAAAAAAAAAATCTTTAGTTAAAGTTCTTGAAAATTTGTATAAATTAACTTTGTTCCTTTATCGATGTTCTGCTGTGTTGAAATATACTGGAAACTATGCACTTCATCTTTTAGGAGGGAGGGAAAAGAAGTTTCCTTAGCAGTTGTGTTGTGTATTATCTGATGGTGATTAAACCCAGTAGAAGTTGTCTTCTCTTTGAACTGGTAACTAATATTGGCAGTTATGACTTTGTTAGTAGACATGGTGAAGGGATAAAGTTTCAATTGCACTTGAATCTTCCAATTATCATCACTGTGTTGTGATTTGCAGAGAGATCTTGAAGTTTTTGTTGAGTTGCTTTCATGTTAAAACTGAAAAAAAACCCAACCCTGTGCATCTAGTGTGTTCCAAGTGCAAATGGATATTCAGTCCAGATGACCCAACTAGAGCTAATGCAAAAAGAAACCACGACACACCTATGGTGTGGTCACTGGCTCCACAACACCAGCCATTTCAGGCCACAGACCCATTGTTCTTCTGCCACAGAACTGGCCGATAGATACGGCGATCAAACTCTTGGTAGAGTTAAGCACACTGTATAGTGGGAGGAGTGATATTTCATGTAATACTAAGTTTGTTAAAGTATATTAAATTTTAAACTACAGCATTGGTGCAAGGTATTCAGCATATAAAATTTCAGAATAAGATGAATTTTAATTGTCTTTATTTTGATAGATTCTGAGACAGATTTTTTGATTTTTCAGCCGTGCACGGAAGTTCTTTTTATTGATATTTTCCATGAATATAATCAGACTCTTACCCCTGTGCTTTTAGAAATGGTTCGCAGTCTACAAGGTAGGTTCTTTAAAAAATAAAGGAACTGGAAAATGTAGAATTATTTACATTTGTTTTTATCAAATATTAAAAAAATTGCCTTGTGATATCTAATTTTATATAGTGCATTCAGTCTCTGTTTTTGAAAGGACATGAAAATATTAAATTATTTCTAAAACTACCATAAGGAAAATGCCATGTGTATCTTAGGGAGATAAAACCTTCAGGATTCTATACCTTTTGTCATAACTGCTTTAGATGACAGACAAGGACTGGGGCATTTCTACTTTCATGAGATTTCAGGCTTTCTTGAAGTCAACAAGCTCAGCAAGGGATTACAGTTGGGCTGGCCCCTCGGCAAATGGTACATGCTGTCTGTTAACGGCTCCCCCTTTCCAAAGAGAGAGAAAGGGAATGAAGGAGAGAGACTTACAGATTGGAAAAGAAAATTAGAACAACTCTGATGAAAATAGTAACAGTGCAATGAAATAGATACAAGTATAAACAAAGCCAATATCAAACCCAGCCCCCCTGATGGCGATTCCATCACTGTCACCACTGATACTGTGGGACTGGGGAAGTCCTAAACTGGATCCATCAGTAGATGGGAACTAGATTCAGGAGCTGGATTCTGGAACTGGCTTCAGGAATATGTTAGTCATGATTGAAGGCAGAACAAAGAAAGTCCTTCTGAGACACCAGCTGTTGAAGAAGAAAAAGTTAACTCCTGTCATCCCTTAGCTTTATACTGAGTATGACACATAAAGGATGGGATGGAATGCCTTGTTGGCCAGTTCTGGCCTTTTCGTTCTTCCACAGAGGTATGGCTCTTTACTTTCTGCACCCTTAGTGTGGTACACAAGATTTAGCAGGGATCTTAGTCTACAAAGGAGCAAGTATAAGCAAGAGGGTTTCTACACATACCAATCCTTGGCAGTAACTTAAACATTGAGCATTATAATTTCTGGAATTAGACACAATCTACATAACTAAGCTGCTACCTTCAGAAAGTGTGGTTAGAAGAGACTTAGCTGAAAAGTGAAATTGAAAAGAATTAGTACTGTTCTGACTCAAACCAGGATAATGAGGTTTCAGGCTTACTGGAGAATGGTTATCAAACTCAGTGAATTTCTATATGGTTTTTTTTTTTTTTTTTCTGGGAACTTTCTGTTCAAATGTTCCAAGGCAGTTTGTAGTAATTCTGCCATGTCTCTGCAAAAATCCTAGGAAAAAAACCTTTAGAAGTTCTAGTTATGCTCTAATTTTGGGCACTGTCGAGGACTTCCCAAATCTGAAGAATCTCCTTTTAAAAATCTAATGTTTTTCTGTATGAAGAACAACATCTTCATAGACTGAGGAATGATGAAAGTTTTTATTTTCTTCTATCCTAAAGTGTCATATTGAATTCTGTCCTTTCCTATGATTCTTCACTCCAAAACTAACTTTTGTAGTGGCCATGAAAGATGAGTGGTAACTGTCACTTTGTTTTCCCTGTCACTCCAGCTTTTGTTGTTTCCCCTGTTTCTATCTTACCCAATTTAAAATATTTTATATTTGACCTTAACAGAATGGATGGGTACAATTTATTAAGTAGAAATAAATACTTATTCTCTGAGGATGGTTTCTGACTTCACAGAATCTCTTAATAAAATTCTTTATGTAAGTTAGTTTCAGGATGGCTTGCTGTTCTGTAATACTGGGAATGGTAAAAGGTTCCTTATAACAGGGTTGACAATTATTTTGTGTTCCAAGAATTATGGAAATTAATATTTCCATGCTAAAATTCCATTCTCCTGAATCCCCTAGTAGTGGTTTCTGTATGTTTTGAACTTGAGAGTTACTGTTGGAAGTACCAGCTGATATTAAGAATACCGTAATTCTTATGATGTTGGAAAATCTCATACATTATAAGTACTTCTGCACACATATATAAAGTATATAGGAACTAGGTCTAGAACTCTGTTGGAAGTAGTACCATGTGGTCAAACAGTCTTCAGCAATGTGCAGGTTTTGAGTCTGTGCATTTAAAATAAATGCTTCTGACTTGCTTGCATGTTGCTGTTAAAAATATTCAGCTCAAAGAAGTCAGTCAAAACTGGGGTATGAAAGCCAAGATTTCATTTTAGTGTTATTCACTAAAAAAGAAGTGTTGAAAATGAAATAACTGAGCTTGTGAATAAAACAAAAATAACAGAGCAGTCTTACTTTACAACATACTTACTTCAGGTGTGTAAGTGCAAAGTTGCTTGCATTCTTTTAGTTATACTTTTTTCTTTATTTTATCTTTGCCTTGTAGGGTCTGCCAACATGGAAGATACCAGTGCTATACTGATTAAAGATGCCGGTAAATTAAATTTTACTTTACCTTTGAAGTAACTGAGCCACTTTTGTGCATGTATTTGACTTCTTAAAAGTTCTATGAAGAATTTGCAAGACTTTTTTAAGACATTTAGAAAGTAGGACCTAAATCCTATTTCCGCTTTCACTTGATCTTAGTCTTCACTTTTTTGAAATGTGTATGTAAAAATTTGGTGGTTTTTTTTCAGATTTTTTGTGAAACTCTTAGGCAATTTCCCTTACTGTCTAGTCCTTTCCTCTCTGCAAATAAGTGAGCTACAGTGCTTCAGTGTAGATAGATACTCTGTCCATTTTACAAGTAAGGAGATTTTATGGCAAAAGCATTGTCCCAGACCTCTGATAGAACCACTCTTGATGTTGGAATAAGATTTTCATTGTTCTTATGGCTTTTAACTATTTTCAAGGGTTTGAGTTTTCTTCTGTAGTATCTTGCTTTTACTGAAATTTCCTCCAGATTTTTGTTCACCATCATCTGATAATACCTTTTTTCAGAAAGATATGCTTTGCTTTTTCTTTATCAGGTTGTCAAAAATGTTTTTGAAACTTAGACTAATTTTCTAATATTAACAATTAAACATTTAAGCAAACAATAAGCATAACTGTTATTTTTCCCCAGTGTATAATGCGGTTGGACTGGCTGCTTATGAACTATTTGATAGTGTGGATTTTGATCACTGGTTTAAAAATCAACTGTTAGCAGAACTACAGGTTTCTCATGACAGGTAAACACCTTGGTTTGTTATGCCTTCATCATTTAAATATGAACTGTTGATAGAAATCTGGTAACACAAGATGTCTAATATTTGCAAACTTGAAAAATACTCAATATTTAAACTGATCAGCTAAATGAGCAGAGGTATGAAATACAGATGACTGATACAGTCACAGAAGTGACAGTATTCCTGAAAAATTCTATCTGCATAAGTTACTGTGTGGTGGACACTTCCAGAGTTCTGTAAAAATACTGGAAGTCCCTTCTCTTTCATGTATTTCAGTTGCTGAAACTTAATTAGAACAACGATTTTGCTCATTTAAAAAAAAGATATTTTGACCTTTGAGACCCCAGAGCCCTTTTGGCAGCAAAGTCCAACTGAAATCTGTGAAAATAATAATCTGTAAAAGCGTAGTGTAGGCAAAATAGTGATTTGTTCTTCTCTACAAAGTTAAATACAAGCTCACTGTAGCACTTCTCAATTAATTTTACCAACAGTAAAGTGGGAAATTAAGGATTTGGATGATACTGTAAAGTGTGAATAATTACAGCCTGGTTCTACATGAAAAGTATTCAGCCCATCTGCTGTGGGTTTTCCTTCTCACCGAGGTCCCCTTCACTTGCGTGGTCTTCACAAGAATATTTTCTTGGTGGTTGTTGTTTAGCCTGTATCCGTAGGGTATTTTGAGAAATCGGTTCTGGCATCTGAGTAAAGCCTGAGCTGTCTGTCTCTACAACTGAGTAGAAGACAGTGTTCCTCCCTGTTCTTCAACTGTCACTGTTCCCTCAGGGGAAGGACAGCCACTGCCATTGTGCATGATAATGCCTATCAAATGAGCTCCAAATCACCCTGGGCCTCTGAAGGAGTATCTCCTGGTTTTCTCACCTGAGTCATCAGCAGAGACCCTAATGTCCTTTGAAGAATTTTACTGTGTTTTTTCTTCTACATTTGCAATTCATCTTACCAGACACAATTGTTGTCTGAACTGTAAACTAATTTGTTTGTTAATACCCTGAGAAGCACTATAAGCTGTAAATGATTTTCTGTAATGAGTTGCTAGCCAGCTTTTTTTATTTCCAAATGCCAGTTACAAACTCTTTACAAATGCAGTCCAGTTTCATGTGGAATGGAAGATCCTGTGAAACTTGCAAGTTTTAAAATGCTTCTTTCCATTAGAATACACTTTAAAAAAGAATGAATTATTCTGCTTTGCAGAATAATTGACACAGTTGTTTACCTGTTGTCTCCTGATTTCTTTGTTCTTTTTCCTCAATGGTCTTTTTATTTTTTTGTAAGATCTCAGCTTCACTTTGTCTACCAGTGGCAAGTGCTCCAATGGTTAGACTAAACGTCAGAGGAGCAAAGAAAAATGAGACATCTTGTACATATGATTGATTCCTTACTGTGCTACACCAGCACTGATCTGTGAATAAAGCTGCCATGCTGACTTTGGCATTTTTATACTACCCAGCAATGTAGCATAAGTCAAGCTGACAAAAGTTTTCTACAGTTGATAGATTTGTATTCATAGTCAGGAAGACACTTGATGTAGCCATTTGGTGGGCATTTGTGATTTCCCAGGATGAAATTCCGGTGGGGACAAAAGCTTACAGTAGAAGTTGTCTGGAAGTTCAAAGCCTTGTTTGCTTGAACTGCTTCTACTGCCAGCATCATTGGAGGCCACCATAGCAATAAGGGAGATGGTGTTAATACTTGGAACAGAGAGCTACTTTAGTGGCAGCTTCAGGAATACATATGCAGTTCAGATAAAGAGGGTTGGACAGTATGATTTGCTGTTCCACAGAATGCCTCATGGTGATATACATGCTTCTTCCCAAATTGGTTCATGTTTGGGAACACAAACCTGTGTGTTGTCAGTGTTCATTGGCCATAGAGGTTGCTGTGTTTTGTTTTCTTTGAATTGTTTGTTGTCTGTTGATAGTGAGTCTGTCAACTGTAACTACAGCAGCTTGATAAATACAGAATTAATGAAAAAATATTCTTAAGGATTTTTCGAAACATTGAATTGCCAAATTTATCACTTGCCATAATATTTAGTTTTGTACTGATTAGGGAGAAACTTCTCTGTAATATGTAAACCGTTTACTGAATACAGTTTTTCACAATGATTCCATCCTAAAACAGCTTTTCCTGCTAAGAGAGAAAGTATCGATGCAACATTTAGTACTGTATTATGTTATCAAGTAAGATACTTCTGACTTGAGTGTCTGAATTCTGCCCAGACTGTGTAGAGCTACCATCCCATGACTATTTCAGCAGAAGTTGCCTTGCTTTGGAATATGATCACTCTTCCCATGTGAGCTTTAGGTCCAGCAGGCTCAATCTATTCAGTGTATACTCTTAGTATGGAAGCTAATTATGTTCTGAGAGGTGAACTTTTCCCAGAAATAATAAATGTAGATAAAGTAAGACCTCAAAAATGAGCATATATGAGCAGAATAATTTCTAGGAACTTAAGTCCTTTTGAAAGAACAACCAAACAAAGCCCAATAACAAAACCAAACTAACTAAACCAAAAAACCCACCAAAACACAAACCCAGAGAAAATCCAAATGCACTCCCACCCTGCAAAACCTTAAAAGCAGCCTGCCTTTTCTTTACCAGGAAGAGAGAGAGAAAAGAATACAAAGATGCAGGCAGGATGTATGGATTGTACAACAAATATCACCAAAACTGGAATTCCTTGCTGCAATCAGATGGTCATGTACATATGTTGTGCCATTTAAAACTTTTCTATGTGGTAGTGGTTTGAAAACTATCCAATGCCAATCTTGAGAAAAAATATTGAGAGTTTTTTTATATTCTGATTTTTAAAAGGTTATGTGTCAGGCACGAGCAATCTAAGAATAGGGAAAGCTGTATCATCACACCTTCTCAAACAGAAGAATGTGTTAGCAAGGCAATGTCGTGTGTAAATAATGCGTGAGCCTGGGCTGTTCATGCTTCACTGCCATTCAGTAAATCTCAAGCAACACCAAAATGTTATTCCTTTCTAGCTTTGTGTTCCAGTCTAAGGAACTGCTGTGTACATGTATACATGCTACTTCCACAACTGTCATGTTCCCTGAAGCTGTGCTTTGTTGATTATCTCATGTTTATGGAAATGTTTAATAAATCACATTGATTACATGTAAAGAAGCCTCAATAACTTCAGTTAAAATTGCTGTTTGATGGCTTGCAAAGGAGGAGTTCATCAAATGAAAAATACATTTAGGACAACAAGACAAAATAGTTTGCTAAAATTCTATGAATAAGGTTCACCTTCCCTAGCTTTGTATGTCTACAAATTAAACATTTAAATCTTCCTGATCGTCTCTCATAGTAAGTGGCAAAAATCAGCACCTCTGTGAAATGGTTTTAATCATGTTAAGCAATTGGGCTCATTGTTGTCCTCGTTTTTATTTCTTCCCATTGGCTCAGAAGCTCTTTGATTTGTGCCCTTGTCACAGCAGTGATGCAAGATTAGGTTACATAATTTCTTTCTGAGAACAGTTTTAGACTGACGACATGAAATAGCCTGGCATTTGCTGTAACATAGTACCAAAGTTTGCATTTTTAAATTGTATCTGACCTAAAATTTTGAGCATAAAAGGAATGTCAAGAAAATTGCGGAAGCCATGATGGCAATAATAATGGTAAAATTTATTTTTAGTTTCTCTTATTGTTGTGCTGTGTGCAAGATAATTTGTGTCTCTAGTGAGATGTTCAAGATTAGTGATTTAGGATGAGTTGCCTTTTCAGACTAAGTTGGGTGTTTCTTGAGCCCTCTAGTGAAGAATTTTAATGAAAAAAATTTCTGCACTGAAGTCCTGAAGTTGGTCTTGACAAACTAAATCTTTTAGTAATTGTTTCAGGGAATAATGTTTTCCTAGTCTTTCTTAGATTTCTTTTTCATCAAAGAATTCTAGAACAGCAAGTATAATGAGTGATTTTGTTTTTTTTCCCTACTTTTAAAGATACAAACCAATACGCCGACGAGTAATTTGGCTGATTGGACAGTGGATTTCTGTAAAATTCAATGCAGATTTGAGACCTGTGTTATATGAGGCAATTTGTAACTTGCTTCAGGACCAAGATTTAGTGGTAAGTATAAGTAATGTTTTGGATTACTGATCTGTTCTGTAGACACAGGCAAAACATAAATACCATACCTTGTGTAAACTCAACTGAAATTTTCGTAACATCACACCTTAAAGTCTGTTGTGTCTTGCAAAAGATAATCTATGAGGGTGTTGAGTTGTGGAGATGTTGAATAATAAAGACATGCAGCAAGCCCCTAAAATGTTCACTAGATGGTGACTTTGGTGGGAAAATGAATGGCAATAGCAACAGTCTGTTTTTTGTAAGAAGGAAATTGTGAAGTGTCTCGAGATAAAAAAAATATATAAAGAAATTAACACTTTTTGTAGATTAAACAGGGTTATTCTGTGAGTAGTTCCTGTACTATACAGTATCATTTCAGCATCCACGTAGTTACCTGCTAGCAGAATATGATGAATGTCCTTGATTCCTAAGCTGTTACAGTACAATTAGGTGGTTTTAAGCTACAATTTCAGTTTACTAGCATGTGAGGTTGAGTTGAGATGATGTGTTGGGCATTTTTGTTGTTGCCTTTGTTTTTATTTGTGAACAAACAGACCAAGCAGCCAGCAAATAAAACCTAGATAGTTGCTCTAGTTAATCAGTAATTCCAGGCAGCTTTGTTAGACCAGGATGTATTTCTGTGTCAATGTTGTGTCTTTTCATTTAATGCTTTCTTAATATCTGCCAGGGATGAACATTGTAACTTCAATTTATTTGATTCTGTTCTTTTTGGGTGACAGCAAGCCGTGAGATAATCCCAAATTAAATTCCTTCCCTACTGCAAGTATTTTTATCACAGGCTAGACAACTTCTTACTTCTTTCCTGGTGTTCATGAAGGTTTTTACCCGAGTAGTTTCTCCAGGTGGTACTGCTTTAGCAATGTTAAGTAAACTGAAAAAATACTAAAATGAAAGCAAATGAAAATGTTTGAGTTGAACTAACTACATTTCTTAGAGGACTATGGAACACATTGAAAGATTGAATTACCAAAACAGCAACTGATTTGATATTTTCAGATGTTATGTTACTAATCAAAATGTTTAATAGATGTGTGCATGGTGTTTCTTCAATTTTGTCTTTCAGGTCCGTATTGAGACAGCTACAACACTGAAGTTAAATATCCTTTTGTTGACAAAGATATTTGATTAGTTCTTAATTCAGAATTACTAGAAAATAAACTATTTTAAAATCACTACAATATTCTCCACATTAAAAGTTGTGTGTATCCATGGAGCATTTCTTCATGAGTCTTGTACCTATTTGCAATCTGTATTATTTTTCCTTAATGTTTGTTTACCTGTGGATGACTTTGAGTTCAGCACTGACCAGTTTCTACCGGTAAGAGCACATATATGGGCATATTCTGATGAGCAGATAGATCCATAGAGGAAAGCAGGAAAACTTTTCCAGTTTAATTTTAAACCACAGTATTTAGTAATCAGTGTGCGTACACGTGTATTTTTTCCCAGTCTTCAGAGGCCAAAACAGGTAGTGACTGCTGCTGTTAAGGTTGCTAATGTGCAATATTCAGACAGACAATTGGAAACCTTTTCTTATTATAACTATTACAACTTCCTGACATTTGTTTAATACTACATAAACATGTTGCTTGGTGCCAGGTTTCTTCATGTGAAGACAGTATGGATACTGTCTTTAACAGATATGTCTCCACACCTATGTGGCCTTCCAGTTATGCCTGTTTGACACAGTCCCTTCTAACCTGCTGTTTCACACTGATATTAAATGTGTGGTTAAAGTAGTGTCTTGAAAAAATAGACTTCCTTGGTCTCCAGTATTTGTGTTCTCTACAGTGGTCATTACTGTTGTTAACAAGTAAACAATGAATAGTTAGCTGTAAATGCAGCAGACATTTATTTTGGTCATTGAAATTTAGCAGGTGCTTTTTTTCTCATTTGACTGGGATTTCCTATGTTAATTACAAATGCCTTGAGAACAAACAAAACGAAAATGCGGAATGCATCTACACTTTAAATATTGGCATGTTTTGAGATCTTTTTTACAATTCAATATATAAATTTTGTCTACTATACCAAAAGCTGTAAGACTGTACATTTACGTTACCCTAACAAGGTGATCCTTCTGGAGAGATGTCTTTCAGCTTTATAGTATTTATCTGTGAAGTCATATTTCCACTTACTATAACATGAAAATTATGTATGTTCAAAATGATGATGTTTGATCTGTTATGTAAGAGCACATCTAAATTTTTTCCATCTTCCTTAGGCATTGATTGGCTAGTGTACAGTTTTCCAAATGAGAGAGTAACATTTTGTAGACTTTCTAAGTGTCTTTCGAAGCTTAGTTGTCTTAGAATTGGAAGCATACAGGAAAATCACCAATTCATGTCACCAGTTGTATTTTTGATGGTCTAATCTGTGGTTATTTAATTTCTTTTAGTATCTGGAGTCCATATTCACACTGCTCTTTCAGCTGCTTCAGGAAGTAACACAATGTGACACCAAAATGCATGTTCTTCACGTTCTGTCTTGTGTGATTGAAAGAGTCAATACACAGGTATTCTTTTATAGATTTGAGTGTTAGCTTTGTGATAAGAACACAGAGGAGGAACTTGATATTTTTGGCTTACACAAAAATAGTAGGAAAATTTATTTATTAATAGACTGGTTATTGTTACAGTAGATCTCTGAATTCTTTGCATTACTTTATTCTTTTTTCACTTTTCAGATCTTATTTTTCTTTTGTGTAAACTACTCATTGCTGAGTTACTACTTTTCTTCATTTACTATGTATCTTTTTTGTTGACTTATCTTCTAGAGTGCAGAAAGACATCCATTACTTATCTTGTTGCATTTCTTGTGATTTTTTAAAAAATTGTAATTTATTCCTATTGTCTCATATATGAACAAGCATTTTATTAAATCTTACATGTTGAAAGAGATGTTTTGGGGGACAAAATGCTTCACACTCATAGGGGCTGTGTGGTTAAATGTGTGATCTCTCATTGGCACTGAATTGGGTCCCAATTGCATATAAAGTACATTACTTCTTCACTGCATAAAAAGTTTCAAGTTCACTTTGGTTTTTCAGTACTTCCTTCATACTGTTAAAGTATGTTCTTCAACTTATACATAAAGAAATTGAAGGTGTTTTTGCAGAATTGAAAAATGAATTGTTGACTGTTCTTGTCACAGTTTTTGCTTGTGGCAGTACTGTATTAAGGACAGACATAATGCCTGGTTTTGAGCTTATCTCCTCTTTCTGCCCATAATCCTGTCTGAGATCCTAGTGAAGCTTTTCTAATTGTCCCGTGGAGGAAGAGTCAGCATGACAACAGATTGTCCTGCAATTTAGATCAGCTAGAGAAGCAGCAGAAAAATGTAAGACAAGGAAAAGCTTTGAGTCTGTTTAGGTTAATTCCTAATTAAAAACTAGAAAAGACAGGTAGATTAAACTCAGTATTGTAGAGCATCATGGAAAACAATTTAGGTTGGAACAATACTTTAAAGATTTTGTAGACTAACCCCTGATCAAAGAGCGGGCGACCAGAAGACATTCAGCATTATTGGGTTTTTTTTTTTATTGTTTTGGATTTTTTTGTGTGTGTGGTGTTTTTTTTTTAACTTGGACTGTTTCTGGTCCCCCTAAAAAATGTTATTATTTAAGAATCCAGTCTAAGTGGAGAATACATTATTAAAATATTGCTGGTTATCAAATTAAGGTTTTTTTTTTGTGTTCTATTTACTACTCAGCCTCATTGCCATGCACAAATGTTACTATAAGTAGTATATACATTTCAAACCATTGTTGCAGTCAAGTCACTTCAGTCACAGAGTATGCTGTATGGTGCTTTAGGAAGAGGACAGAGGAGTAAACACAAGGATTATTTCAGAAATTATGTTTGGGATATATTAATGTCCTTGTTTCACACATTAAGAAAGAAATTTGTGTTCCGAACTTCAGATACAACCGCACGTAGGATGTTTGGTTCAGTACTTACCACTCCTGTGGAAACAGTGTGAGGAGCACAATATGCTGCGATGTGCCATTCTGACGACCTTAATCCATCTCATCCAGGTAAGGGGTCAGAGTCACATGGGTGTTGTCAGGAGCTCCTACAGTTCTTTATCAGACATCCCTACGTGTGTATATATGTATGTATATACACATGTAAAATTAAGGTATGTTTTAATTTCATAGGGTATTTCTAAATGCTTTTCAGTCTTAAATTGAAGACGTGGTTCTCTGACAGTGGAAGTGAATAACTGAGAGCTTAACAATAACATGCTTTGTTTCCAGGGGCTTGTTCAATAAAAGCGGTTTTTTAGGCAGATTTGCTTGTTTTCTGGGGGGTTTTAGTTTGGTAATCATGGAATTGAACCTCCTTTTATGACTTTGTAGTCCATCTTACAGTTGATGTGTATGGGTCAGACTTAATTCTGCAGGGTAGGCACGTTTGTTTCCCTGTTGCTTTCTATTCAGTTCCAGGGATGTGGAATTTCTGTTTTGGTTACAGACTTTCTGTGAAGAAGAGCCATTTTTAAATCATAGGCCAAGATATGGGCCACCATAAGCTTTGTTTTCCCTGTTCTTTAAATTCACATTCTAATTCGGATTAATGTCAAATGCTTCTTTAAATCATAACTGTTAGGTTTAATGTTGCTTAGGGATGTTGTTGACATTGACTAATTGTGGGTCATCTGGTTTATTTAGAAGTCCAACCCTTTTACTGTTAACATTTTTACCATTACCATTCTATTGCTTAACCTTTGATACCTGTTGCATCCTTCTGCAAAGATTTCTACAACACTTTTATGTAGCATATGAGAAAAAATACTTTATCCTTTCTTGAATTTCGTAGCTTCTTCGATGTTCCGCTGTGTTCGTATGTTATATGAAACAGAATAGTAGCTCTGAGCGACCTGTTCTATGTAATTAATTTGTATCACATCCCATTATTTGTATTTAATTTTTTTTCTTCTTTGGAGATTTTATCTGTATTCATAATTTTCCTTTTAGCTATACTTGAATATTTCCTCTTCTTAATATTCATTTTGAAACGGGAAAACCTAATAAAATGTCATTGAGACAGGGACTACTATCTCCTTACCTTTGTTAGTAAGGCCCAAAACTGAACACAGTTCTCAACTCAAGGTGTGGCATTACCAGTGCTCAGTACAGGGCAACAGTTGCTTCCCTAGTTCTGCTGGCCACATTGTTTCTAATACAAGCCATGATGCTGGTGGCCTTGGCCACCTGGGCACATTGCTGGCTCATATTCAGGTGGCTGTCCACCAACACACCCAGGTCCTTTTCTGCCAGGCAGCTTTGCAGCCACTCCTCCCCAAGCATGACGTTGCCAGGGGATGTTGTGACCCAAGTGCAGGACCCAGCACTTGGGCTTGTTGAAGCTCATACCACTGGCCTCAGTCTGTTGTTTCAGCCTATCCAAATCCCTCTGCAGAGCCTTCCTGCTCTCAAGCTGACTGTCGCAAACCAGCTTGATAATTCCTGAGGGTGCCCTTGATCCCCTTGTGCAGACCAAAGATATTAAAGAGAACAGGCCCCAGTCCTGAGCTTTAGGGAACACTGTTTGTGACAGGTTGCCTGTGGATTCAAATCCATTCATCACCAACCCTGGTGCAGGCCATCCAACCATTTTGTTACCCACTGAAGAGTATCCTTGTCCAAGCACCAAGTTTCTCCAGGAGAACGCTGTGGGAAATAGCACCAAAGGCTTTAGTAAAAAACAGCACCCACAGCTTTCCTCCTCCACTGAGAATGTCACCTTGTCACGGAAGGAGATCAGTTTAGCAAAGCAGCATCTGCCTTTCATTAAGCACATGCTGTCTAGGCCTGCTCACTGTTTGTCATGCAGGTGGCATGTCATGGCACTCAGTATGAGCTGCTTGGTTGGTTTTGATTCTTGATGTTAAGCTGTGTTTTTCTGTCCACGTACAATAAACTCCCTAATTTCTCTAGAGGCTTACTATCATACTTGGACAAAGAATATAGAAATTATTAGCTACTTGCTTTATCAAGGGATAATAATTAAAATTAGCTGGATTTCTTATCAGTGAGGAAAAATTCTTGGTATAATTAAATATTCCTTGAACTTTAAATATCTAGAAATATCTGTGCTGTTGGCAGTAAAAATAGGAATAAAATGTAGTATGTTCCTGAGAAAAGATTGGTGAATGAAACAATGCATGGTTATATTGCCTGCAAAATCAGTGCTATTAAGCACTTCTTTAGTTTGGACTGTGCCATCCCACCTTCAGCAACACAACTGCATCTCAAAAAAGATGTAGCAGGACTAGCATTGTGGGGATTAACAATGGAGAAGTGGAAAGGGGAATAACTAGACGTAACAAAGCAAAAATCAGAGTTCTTTTAAAAATGGAGTTAGTTCAAAGAAGGAGAAAACATATTTTCACAGTAAACAAATTGTGGAACTTCTTGTAACTGCCACCAGTGGAGGCCAAAAGTATACACCAGACACTTGAATGGAAGATTCTTCATGTAATACAAGTCCATTAATAACTAAATGATTCCACAAAGAAACCTTAAATTAGAAGCATCAAATAATTTTAAGCTTAACAGTGTCCAGTTATAGTAATATGCAAGACCAGCATCCAACTAGCCTTTATTCTCTTCTGTAGTAATGTTACTAAATAGGCAGCAGTCCCCAGTTTAAGAATTCCATTCCTTTTAGGATTAGTTTTAATTTATGATTAGCTCAAACTATAGGTATCTTTAGCTTATTTTTAAAAATTCAGTTTTCTTATTAAATGATTGATGAAAAAATTCTTTACTCTGCATTCTTGGGAGGACATCTTTGTGTATGGCTAATGGATCATTTAAAAAACAAAATTGCTGTCAACAGTCTGTGAATCGTTATGTAGCAATGAAACCAAACCCTTCTCCTGATTCTTAGAATATGTCAAAAGATTTAGTATGTGGCAAGTTCCAAAGGCTAATTCTTGCCCTGATCTTTAAAATTTTATTCTGCATTTAGTCATCTAGTACTTGTTAGAGCAGTGACTTTTTTCAGAGAATTACTGTTTTTAGGAGTTTGTGTTGTCTATAATTTTTTCATGAAGGGCCATTGATAAGTTGCTTATTTTCAACAAGGTCTGTGCAAGTTTCTCAACACATACTGAGAGAAAGCTCAGGAGTATCAGACTATTTTGTTGTTGTTTGGAACGGATATAGGTTCAGTCTCTGATTTCTTAAATGCATATTTATAGTAAGTGAATAGAACAGCATCGCAGATGTTCTTTCAGTACTATTCTTGAAATGCTTGTTTTGAGGTTTTTGAGGTATTTAACTTTTTTTTTTAACTTACTTTTTTAGGGTCTGGGAACAGACAGCAAAAATCTCTATCCTTTTCTGCTTCCAGTTATTCAGCTAAGTACAGATGTTTCTCAGCCTCCACATGTCTATCTGCTGGAAGATGGTTTAGAGTTGTGGTAAGAATGTTCTTTTTCAATTTCTGGTATTTAAAACATAATTCTTATATCCTCAGAAAGGGAAAAAAAAAATTAAAAGCTTTGACTACATTCAGATTTTATGTGTTCTTGGTAGCTTACCTTGGCACTGTTGATAGCATACATTTTCTCAGAAGAGATGAGGTTAGGAAGTTATTAAAAGAAACACTGTTAAAAATAACTTGAGTACGTAATCCCATCTTCAGGCAGATCTTCACAAAATTTAGAAGACGGGCCTTTTTAATGTATCTGTTCAGAACTTTCATATCTTCTTAACACTGATCTTGAGGCTGTTATTGTGATGTCTATGCAGAAAAAATGATATTTTAAGATGTCCTAGAGCATCAGAGGAATGTGAATGGAGCAGGTAGAGACAGTTGGGACCCTAACAGCTTCTTGAACCAAGAGAGGAGAACAGCTAAGATACTTTACGTAGAAATGTTACTTAAATACAGTAATCCAATACCTTAAGGTCCAGCAACAAACTGCAATGTATTGCTGTGGCTTTCAGTATGAACTTAATTTATGGCTACTGTTTTCAAACCTCAGGAATTCTAAATTGTTAAAAAAATGATGAGCATATAGTTGAGCTTTTGTGTATGGTGATCAATGTATCATTTCAGACCTAAAAAAAAGTCAAGTTTTGAGTTCTTTGCCACCACGCCTGTTCCTCTGAGGTGTAGGGCACTACACACATTGCCCTTACACCATGAATATTCCTCTCTACCCACATGCTTTGAGTTCCCAAGTTGGGCCCTTGAGCATTCTCACTGTTGCATTTAAGAGGTTATGTTGTCTTTTTAAAAAAAGCAGTAAGCTTATTTTTCTCTTTTCCTACCTTAGCAAGGTCCATGGCTATACAGATGCAAGTGGTTTAAGGACTTCTGATACACCTAAAATATGCTTCAAGTAATAGTTACACGTTATTTAAGAATCACATAGATAGTTTCTAGAAGTTAGTGTTTCAGATCTGTCAAAATGATAGCATTGAGCAACTCATAAATGATCTGAAATACTTTGCTTAATCTGTTCTTAGGCTAGTGACACTGGAGAATAGTCCATGTCTTACCCCTGAGCTGCTGAGAATATTTCAGAACATGTCTCCCCTTCTTGGTAAGTCTTTTACTAATAAAAATGACTGGTTGTTGGTGGTTTTTTTTTTTTCCTAGTGCTTGTATAGCTTGCATTAAGTACTGCTGCTGTGACTACAAGAACTAAGAAGGCTTGCAAGATTGTAACTATTACGAAATGGAGAACAGATCTTTGACCTTCCTGTCTTCTTTAATATCTGTTATCTGCTTACACTAGTTGTCTTGATAAATTGAAGCTGCTTTGTACCCAAAAAAAAAGACAAATTTGTTTCATTGGTTTTTTTTAAGAAGTTCCCAAAATTTAACATCAGATGTGCTGGGTTTTAGTGGTACTGATTATGGGGAATACTTGCTGGCTCTGTTAGCAACCAGAATGATGTGTTCTAGTCTGAAGAATTGAGGTTTCCATTATTAGCTTTTCCATTATTCAGTTGATAACTATGTAGATTGTTTTCAAACTACCTATATATACACCTATAAGTGTATTGGTCAAGCAGAACTGAAATTAAAAGCAGTAATTTTGCCTTAGTTGTTCACAAAATATAAACTTACTAGTGAGTATTAATATTGAGTGCTGAGGAAGTATTGATACTTGGAGTGGTTTTGCTTTTTAATTACAGGGAATATAACATTTTTGTGGTTTAATTTTATTATGTTTTGTTTAATGAAATCTTCAGCTGTTCTTTTGTAGGTTGTGGAGATAATACTGCAAATGGATTTGCTCTTCAGAGAAATGTGTTAATAAGATTACAGAAATTAGCTTTATAATTGTTGTTTTCAGCACTTAATATTTTATTCAGACTAAAGGTCAGTAGAAAATTACATCATGGCAGGTGCAAGATGACACCTTCTGTAATTTCTCTGTGTGTACTAGATTGCTAATGACAAAACTGCTTAGGAAAGTAGTGTTTTGTTGTGATTTTAGTATTTAGCTCCAGAGCTACCTCTTAGGCTCAGTAGCTGCCAAATATTTACTGTTTGTCTTCATTCGTGTCTACACACCTGCCCTTCTTTATTCTTGTTCTGTGTTAGTAGGTAGTATCTGCTATAGGAAGCTTGTCCTATGAAAATAATTCTGATTTTCATAGTTGTCACACTGCTGATATCTCCTTGTGTTAAAATCAGAAATACTCTGTATTTGTGCTTGTTTATGTTTTCTGCTGCTGTTTTCTTCCCACCTTGTCCTCCCTAGTCCTCATGCAGTACTTTCAAGGTAGAGATGAGTATGAATGAAAAAATGTTGCATATTCTTCTTGCAAAAGGTGGAGATATTTAGCAATATTCTACACTTTTAAAAATTTTCTTACATTATGAATGAATCCTGGAAAATAGTGATGCTTTCCTTTTGGGGGAAAAAAAATCCTTAAGAGAATTTCAATGTTCTGAAAAATGAAAGCTGTTATGTGATGTTAGTAGAGCAAGTAGCACACTTAAGGTGTAGGTTTTTCCTTAAGGTGAGACTTTAAATACACTTAGGTCATGAAACTGCTCTGGTTGTTTTGTTTATTTTTTTAATAAGGAATGGGACTGAGTGGCCAAACCACAGTGACCGATATGTAATCATAGACCAATTTCCTCATGCTGACTTCTGCTACTTCTTTACTTTCTGAGCATTTTCCTGAGAAACTTGTTTTCTGAGTGTCGTATCAGTCAAAAATTTTCATTAGTGTAGGCCAAAATGGTGCACATTTTGTCAAAAAGTGGAAACCATTCTGGTATGCAATTCCCTTCTGTTTACATTGGGAGAATCTAGCTGTGCAGCCTCCACATGACATAGCAGTGGCACCGTGATGCTGAAATAGAGCTTGAACCTTGCATTAGTGCTAACCTTATTTTAAAACTTGCTAGTTATAAAAACAGTAAAATACTGCCATGCCTCAGGCAGCTATTTTGTTCAGTGTGCTTGAAGAAAGGATACTTCACTTAAATCTAGTGCAACAGCTCAGTTTAAGCTGCGGCACCTTGCAGAACAAAATTTATTGATCAGTGTGCAAGTTATATAACTGTTCAGTCCTATTTCTGCAGTACAGTTTCACCAATACAAGTGGCACTATTCACCTGGAACTTAGGGCACATGAGAACAAACACTTGTCGATATGTTTGATGTAACTGCCAGGAAAATGGTGTTTTAACTGTGACATCTTATGTTTTCAGTTGGACAAATGCAGAAAACCAGAGAAGAAAGGTGATGTGACATGAAGTCATCAGTGTAGAGGAGGGGAGATGTTTTCTCTTCTTCCTGGCCAGATGATAGCATTTTTTAAGTCTTGCATAAATTTTACTTGTTAGAGGTATTCATATACAATAATAGAGGACAAACTTCTCTGGGAATTGAACAGTGTATGTAAATACATACAGTGCAGCTTTGATAACTCACACTGAGGGACTGTGAAAAATAATATTGAGAGCCATTGATACAGAAGTAGATGGTTCAGTTTTGTTTAAGGAGGTGCAGACAGTAGTCTAGATTGTGCATTATTCAGGTTATTGGCTGTGCATTGTGTTTTTCTTTCTGTTTTGTGTTAACTGCCTTTATGGTCAGGGTCCTGAGGGACTGAATTATGACTGCCTACAGTTTTCTTCAGAAAATCCAGGAGGTGTGCAATAGATTAGTGCTTGATTTGGGACCCTTGGAGCTCTTTGAGTGTCTTGTGTTTCCCATTGGACTTGGGAGCTTAGCTTAAGAGTAATACCTTAGTAATACCTTAGAAATACCTTAGTAGCATAACCAGTAATATTTTAGAAACCTGAACTTTGAAGGCCTCTATGCTGCCTCTGCTCATGCTTTCTTTGCCATAACCTATAGTTGTATTGACAGGCATATACTGTCAGTGTTCTTTGACTTTCATTCCTAACTTAAATTTACAGCCTAGAGAACTAATTGCTTGCCATTGCATCTCATGCATTTTTTAGGAGATTTGTTAATCATACTTATCCATTGGCAAGCAATTACAATGTCCAATGCATAAAAAAATGGTTTTGAGATTTAGTTAATGGTTTTGGCTTTATTCATTCTTACTAGGTTTTTCATTATTTGAACATGCCTTTGTCATGGCCATGTCATAGGCCTGTGGCATATGCTGCCATAGCTATATGTCAGTGCAGTGACATCTTTAATTTTTAATAGTCATCTGAAAGGGGAAAAATACAGGAATGTTTTTGATTTTTAATCTTTTAACTCACCTGAAAGTAATATGTAGTTCTTCCTTTCCAGATACACTTATCCTCTGAAAAGAGATTTTCATACACATTTCAGGGTACTACTGCTGTTAGAACTGGATGTCAGAGGAGCTGTAGAAATCATATTAGGTTTCCTTTTCAAAATAATCAATGCTAGCCCTAAATCTTAAAGGTACAGGAGTAGAACATTCAGTATGAAGGCTTGATTTGACTTGCATAACTGACTTTCCTTCAAAGGTTGTGGTGCTATCCCTGATGTACAATAATCGTTCACAGCATAATTATGTTTGGTTTTCACATCAGCACTGCTGCTATTTTTAAAAATTCTTTTGAAATATAATTGACATGCAAAGGGTTTGTAGAGACTTTAATCCATGTCTCAGTGCAGCAAATTGGTCAATGTGGAATGGAGGAACACATTCATCTCTGAGGATGGATGCATTTCTACACTAAGACTTTAAAATGATGGCTGAACCTGATAAAATTTTAGGTGTTCAGTATTGTCAAAGTCAAGACATACCTGTTTCAAGAAGCATTGGGGTTAGTGTGTCTGTGCTGCACTTGTAATGGCAAAAATCACTTTACTGGAACTGGAATACTTGCTCTGATCCAACCAAAACCCAGAGGAGTGCATTAATTCAGAAAAAGATATTTCATTCAGGAAAACCTGGCAAGAGAATTGATGTACAATTGTTTAAGTGTAATCAGTTGAAGGTGGCATCTTCCTAGAAAAATGCTTTTACTAACCATTGAGCTTTATTTACAGACACGTGACTGAAATCCTGTCATTTCCATGACACTTATCTTAACTGTTTTTTCCTTCTGGTCTGAAATAGCTTACTCCTTGCAATTTTGCTGCTCATACTTTATTACCTTTGTATCAGGAATCACAGAATGGAAAGTTATTAAAAACTTGGTAGCATTTCATGTCTACATGAACCTTTCTTTATAACTTGTCTACTCCATAAGTGTCTGAAACTAAGACTATGATTGTATCCAGTAAGAAAGAAAACCCTGCAGACCTCTAAGGAGAATGCAGTAATTTCAAGAAACACGTAACACTAGTAATATGCTACTAAAGCTAATTTATAAATGTCTTGGATTCTTTTGATGAGGATGTTGGATGGACAGGTGAAAAAAAAAAAAAATCTCTTTTCAAGTCAAGATATGTAAATGTTCAAAGTAAGTGATAACAAGACGTGACTTGTCCAAACACTTAGACAGGAAAATAGTCATGCATCCTGTCAGATGGAGCATTAATGTTTTTCTAATGAGAGGGAAAAGAAGGGAAACTGCTAAAACTCCCCAAACTTTTCAGATGTTATAATGGAAGACCAACTACAGTTTCTGTCATATACTTTTTGTGGAACCTCTTCTATATAAGCATCACTAGGTGTAAGCCACACTTTCATGTAAGCTGTGGAAGACACAGCAAGTCTTAGCCAGCTGGTGGTGTTAGTTTAATCTAGTAAGAAATTTTATTTAAAACTAAAAGTTTTCCTGCTGGCTCTCTGTGTTGATTTTATTGAAATATTTGTTAGAAGTGGTGGAGCAGAAGCCCACGAACTTTACCAAGAATAGTCTGTTTCCCAGACTAGTTTTAAGAAAATCTAGCAAGCCCTTGGAGATTTTTATCTTCTGTTTTGTTTTCAAACATCTTTCAACATCTTTCAGCTGTTTACTTTCTGCACTAAAACACCATGTGAAACTCTGAAACCTTTTGTTTTGCTGTGAATTGTGTTTATAGGTGTTCTGGGGTGATTTTTTTTTAAAAAAACAATCTTACAGGTACTGCCTGAGGGCATGTCATTTTTTTCTCTATTCAAACTGCTGCTGTATACCATCTCCTGTGTATCTGTCTCTTAAATAGGTATGCTTTCCTTACTGAAATACTGAAGGTAAGGCCTAAAGCTTGGTGTATTTCAGTCAAAAAGGTCAATGCATTTGGTGTATCACCTGGGTCAGAACAGCAGAACTGCAATCTTCACTCTTTTTACTACTCAGCATTTACTGACTGAAATGCGAGAGAGAGCATTTATCAGTATTGCTGACCTCTTTAGTATGTGTTTCATTTGTTCCATCTTTGATGTTGTCTTAGACCTCTACCACATCCAAAATTTTACGTTTTTTTTTTTTTTAATTAACATTGGCTTTTGAAGTCATAGGATATCTTGTCCTTCCATTTGAGAATAAGAGCTGTTAACATCCCTCCTTTGTTACTGTCCCTGGCAGAGTGACAGAGTTTGAAAGGTACCGAATCTAAAATAACTTTTTTCTATTTGTAGGCTTCTGGCACTTAAAAGCTGTGTAAGAAAAAGACTTTTAGAAGCGAATCATTTTAGTTGTACTTTGATTTGGTAATGAGGTTCTGAGCTGTGATTTCTTTTTCCCAGAGCTGAGTTCAGAAAACGTCAAAAATTGCTTTAAGATCATCAATGCTTATATTTTCTTGGCATCATCTGAATTTTTACAGGTATGTTATAGTTATCTAAAGATTCAAATGAGAACCATGGTTCCCTACTGGCAAACTTCTTCTGTCATGTTGGAAGACTTCATACACACAAACTTTTATAGTCTTGTTCATCTATGTATATACAAGTATAGTGTTCTAGTGTTAGCTCTTTAGGACACATGTTTGACTCTGAAATCAGATTTGAGGAAGGTTTTTATTTAGAATTAGTGTTTTGTGAATTGACTTAGTACTTTAATACCTGAAAAGGTCCTGTGTGAGGTAGTAATCATTACACTAATTGTCCTACTGGGTTAAAATTACGATCATGAATTCTAGCAAGAATTGAACTAGAGGTATTACACCTTGTTTTCATACCTCATCCATTAGCAGCTTCATTGAAATTGATTGTTCAAAAAACCATGCAATATTAAAAAAAAGAAAGCTTAGATGAGTTTTTAATTCATTCAGGAAAGACAGGCATTTTAGCAAACACAAACTTTGAAGAAAAATGGTGGCTTTGGACAAACATAACCCCTAATGTGTTGAGTTTTGAAATGTATATATAGATATAAAATGTATTTGCGTAATACCTTCCTTTTCATTTAATTTCAGTCATATGCTTCTGACTTATGCCATTCGTTTTGTGAACTTCTGAAGGACGTAAATAGTGAAGGTCAAGTTCAAATTTTAAAGGTAGAGTGAATAAAAATAATACATAGATATTCGTCTCTGTAAATCTGTTATTCTTTGTAGTCTTTTGTCATGTTAGAGTCGTATTTTCAAGTATAGTCAATGTAGAATATGGTAGAAGAAAACAGCATAAGTAGCACACAATGACAGTGCAGTCAGTGGTGTTTTAAACTTCATATTTAAAGTGTGTGTGTAGAGTGTGTACACTTACACAGTATTTTAAAAAAATACTACTTTTCCCAAGAGAAGATCAATATAATCTTATAAAGAGCACTGTGAAAATTAATCACTGGAATATGGTGTTTCTATTCCCTCTCTGCAATGCTTTCATTACTTTACATGATGACAAAGTATTGTCCTTAGGTAAATAAGTTCTAAGCTAGCTTAGTCCTCTTTCTATAGATGGATTCAGATTGAGTCCCTGATATCTCTTCTGTTTGATTATTTTCTAGATTACTAGAGACAGGTAGTTAATGAGGGCTTGTATCTTCATGAAAACAGTTTTTTCTACAGCCTGGCAACAGCACACTTAAACAGCCAGATGACCAATCACTGTGTTGTGAAGATAATGTTATGTATGTAAAATCTTGAGAGCATAGTGTAGCAAAACAAGGGATTTGGGTCTGGGTAACTTGGTTTAATCTCTGACTATCAGTGGACTCGAAGTTGTGTAAAGCTAATCAAAGTTGTTTATTTTGAATGGAATTCTAGAATGGATAACATTACTGCAGTATAACACAGTATACTTACACTTCTAATTACAAGATAAAACTCATTAATCAGATTGCTTTTGTGCTTTTAAGATTTGTCCCTGATTCAGTTTGCATCTTGGTTAGAATTCAGAAAACAAATTCATTATCAGGACAAAAATACATTATGAAATTATTCAGTCCTATAGTCAATATCATACTTGTGTGTTAATAATTAGGTTCATTTTGAATGTTTCTAATCAATATGTGCACAGATTATCTGATTGATGTACCTAACCATCCAAATCCGAGTGCTGTCTGTACCTTATCAAACAGTATTGATGCCTTTGCTAATACAAACAAAAATATCTACTTTTTAAAAGTATCAATTTTCCTTCTCATTGATCAATACCAATAAGAAAAATAATAATACAGTTTGATTTTATAATTGCTCATTTGAAAAACTAGCAAGATAAGGGTTAATTAATGTCTGCATACATACGTGCATTATTGTAAAAAATGGTTTAGGTTATTTTTATGATTTAATAACCACCAAATGCAGAAAAGAGTGTAGCTTGGTCATTTCTGTATGACCACTAGAACCTAATAGGTCTAGAGCCAAGCTTTTCCAGTCTTCGTTGGAAAAAAGGGTTGTGTTGGATGTATATGTTTTCTACCACATTCTTTCGTGCAGTGTACTTGTGTACCATGACAGTGTTCAAACAGCCTTTGCTTTTGGCATAAATTGCTGTATCAAGATTCTTCCTTCCATCTATCTCAGTCAGCTGTGCAAGAGTCAGAGGAAGCTGAGGAGGAGGTGCTTGGCCAGGCAGGTTTCACTTGGCAAGTTGGTTTTTATCAGGTCCTTTTATGCAGATCACGTTTGTGGAGTATATCACTAGAAGATGCTTCCAGCACTCATGGGTTTTGCTGGTGTTTAATGCTTTTATATGTAGACCAGTATATGTAGTTTTAAAGCTTCAGTTAAGATTTTTAAATGTACTTTACTAATTGTCTAATTTGCTTTTGTTCTTAAGGTTGTGGAAAATGTCCTAAAAGTAAACCCTGTTTTGGGTCCTCAAGTGTTTCAACCCATTCTACTATCAATATTCAGGGGGATTATCAATGGGGAGGTAAGTTACCCTAACTACTCTCTACTTTCACTTTTACAGGGAAGTACCTTCTGTTATCCAGCCTAGGTTTTTTTTTTCATATTGATGTTGCATTTTTCTCTTATTATAAGAGCATCTGACAGATATTTGACAGCTATTTTATAACGCTGTAAAAGTAACATAGTAGTGAAAGAGTTAAAGCAGCATATCCATCACTTATTTTGTCATAATAGTGTTTATTGTAATAACAGAAATTTTATTCTAGCATTCCTTCATTATTAACACTGATAAGGTGCTATGACTGCTATGACAATGGATCTAGATCCTTTGTAGGTGTTGGGCTTTTTTGTTGAGGGGTTTTAAAGATATAGTTATATATACACACTGCTCCTTTTTAAGTGTACCTGTACAAGAGAAAAACAAACTGGACAAGGAAAATGTTGACTTGGCCTTCTCTTTCTAATTGGCATATCTAATATGAAAACCTGAAGAATATGAGAATGCTTTATGTGAAATGGAGGAGACTTTATGATTTTGCTTGCTTAGATGTCTTGAATTCTCCATTTTCTATCTTTTTGCCTTCAACAAATTTCTGTGTTGGATAAAAAGGAGTAAAATTCAACAGTGTTTAATTTAAAATGAAATTAAATTTTAAAGTAATTTTTTTTAAAATTAAAATTTAACTGTGTTTAACCTTGCAGTACTAGCTACTAGCAAGAAAAAATACCTTCATCAGCAGAAGCGGTGGGTGGACTTCTGTATGATTTTTACTTCTTTGATCAAAACCTTTTGCTTCTTGTAGAGTTGAAAACTTTCAGATATCAATATTTGGTTCCCATTATTATTGAGCTAAATAAAATGCTTCTGAGATTAAGCCAAGTAAAGTTACTTCACAGTGTATTTTGTGCTGTACAGAACACAAAAAGTGCTGTTTGAACAGTTTGCATTTCAAGAAGACACAAAACTAGAGACTCAATTAAAATGTCTTCTGATTTAAGACTGTATTAAATTCATTGCTTCCTGTTCAAAAAGATACTAATCAGGGTTAATGTTTTCAGGTAAATTTTGGCATTTTGTTTTTCAAGTACACAGTTCTACAAAATACTTACTGTTGTATTTTTACGTACTGAAATTAATAAAAAGGACTCTGTAGCTTCTTTTAAAATTAAAAATAACAGAAGATGATAAGCTGAAGAGCTTACTACTTTATGCTGTTCCTTTTGAGACACTTGCAAATCAGTTATTGGGAAATGTGTTAGTTTCAGTGAAATAAGTAACAACACCTTCAGATATAAGAACTTTTTAATGTTACTGAAATTGTAAACAGTAATTTTGAATTATATTCGTCTTTAAAAATAACTTTTTAACTGTACAATACACTGTTTATTCCTGAAGATGTAGGGTTTTAAAAGTAAAATTTTCAGTGGTGCCCAGCGACAGGACAAGGGGCAAAAGCACAAGCTGGAACACAGGAAGTTCCACCTCAACATCAGAAAAAACTTCACTGTGAAGCTGATGGAACACTGGAGCAGGCTGCCCAGAGGGCTTGTGGAGTCTTCTCTGGAGACTTTCAAATCCCTCCTGGACATGTTCCTGTGAAACCTGCCCTAGGTGAACCTGCTTTGGCAGGACTGTTGGCCTAGATGATCTCCAGAGGTCCCTTCCAACCCCTACTGCTCTGTTATTCTGTGAAAATCATCTCACAAGTTGTCCTGACCATATGGAGGATGCTAACTTTGAGATTACCACAGTTTTCCCATTGTGAGAATCGAATTCTGATACTGATTGTTCCCACAGTCTTGTGTTCTTAGAGGCTTTTAAATTGTAATTTGTAATTTCTAATTTTGTAAAATACATGAAGGATCCATGCAGAGGTTTTCTGTATGTTTTCTACTCTGTATGTTACATATTTTTCTCTTAATTAAACTAAGCCCATTTGTTTTATTTTACTGTTGTTTCAGAGATACCCAGTGGCAATGTCTACTTATCTGGGGATCATGGGTAGAGTTCTGTTACAAAATGCAAGGTTCTTTTCATTACTTTTGAACCAGATGGCATGTGAATTCGGTCAGGAGGTAAGGATTTAGTTTTGTTATTTCAGCTGGATTGTACATGGAAGTCTTGCATTCTTTTGAAACTGAAATAACTTTTCCTTCTATTTTCTGTGATGGTTTTTCCCCAGTACACCTTGGGAAGGGGCCCTTTCCCCTTCTTTGGTCCTTCCCATGAGCATCCTGTAACAGTTTTTAATATAATCCCACAATCACCTTAAAATATCTCATTGAAAGTGTTATACAGTTTCTTAATACTCTTCCTGCTGCGTCCCTGAGTAAGCCATATAAACCTTTTTTTAGTTTGGTATTGCAGTGTGAGAGCTTCTTTCCTTGTGCTATCTTGATGGGTGTTGCAGCAGGGATAATTGTCTAATTGTTCTCCATCTTGTTTCTAGCAGTATTGTGTTCATTGTGCTCCGATTGCACTGTTGAGGTTACTGAGGTCATTCTGCTACAAGTGTTACACTGTGTCTTTAAATGAAATGTTACTCATTTTCTTAACCTTGGGTGTAATACAGTTTTCAAACAAATAAACCTCTTTGTCTTTATCTGTCACCAGTGAAGGTAAAACAGCAAGTAAGTTCACATGCTTTCCGTATATTAGGCTGTTACAGGCACACTGGTTTGAGTTATTCACTGTTGTGAATCAGTGCTCTGTCCGTTAATCAAATGCATTTCTTTGTCTTGTGAGCAGGGGGTTCAGGGCTTGGAAGTAGTGTCATAGAATATTAAAAAAAATACTTGTTGCTTGCTACTTCTGTCAGTTATGCTTAACTGTATGGTGAATTTCCTAGATCGAAGAATTTATGCAGTGGGTAGAAATATTAAAATATATGATTTTCTAAATATGCTGAAGTATTCATAAATGAAAAGGAATATTCTGTTCCCCATTGCAGGTGGACCAAATTCTTGGCAACATGATTGAAATGTGGGTTGATCGGATGGATAACATCACTCAGCCAGAAAGAAGAAAACTTTCTGCTTTGGCATTGCTTTCACTTCTGCCATCATTGAATAGGTAAGTAAATGCACAGTGCCTTCAATTAGAATTCAATTCAAGGGCCCTTAATACGGTTTATCAAGGTATTTCACAATTCTGCAGATAAACATTCCAATATAAGTAGCTTTACTGCATCATTTTTTGCAAAGAGAAACTTAAAAAGGTAGATTTTTTCATGCTACATTATATTTGCTTTTTATTTGGCTTCATAGCGATATAGTTATTTCTATTTCATGAAAAATGTAGTTTAGTAAAAGTGAGGAAACAGCACTGTAAATTTTATTGTCCATTCTCATATTAATATTGAACTAGCTGCTTCTGCCATCTGTGATTAAGTAGTTGCTTTAGTTGCCTTGTTAGTATTTGGTGTCCCGTCCAGGGAACAATGTCCAGTTTGCTACTGGTGGGTAGATCAGAACTGTAATCCTGGTTTCCCCCTTCACAACATTAAATGGAAGAGTTACTCTGAAAGACTATGCAACAGTTTTTGTGCTATAGATTTCTGTAGCAAGCAGCTTTTACTATAGTCCTTCATCTAGACATCTTTATTGCTGAGTATACAAACAAAATGGAAGTTTGTAGTGAAGTTGCTGAATATCATTGTACTGACTTCTGAATTGTCACTACTATAATTCATGTATAGCACATGCTTAGGTGAGAGTTCAGTCCATGCTTACCTTCAGATTATTCTTGTCTATTTGAAAGTCAGGAGGACAAAACTGCATGAGTTCACATTTCACATTCAGTCTGCTAGATTTCCTGAAGACTCTTAAGTATTGTGTAATGCAGATTTAGATGTTGCTCACAAATTCTAAAATTGTGTTAGTATGTGAATATGCTGTCACTATCTAAAAAAAATCAAGGAATTCTTACATGTAAAACTTAAAAGAGGCTTCATGGCTTTTAATTTTTAAAGAAGCTTTCGTTTCTTTGTCACAGATCATCAGAGCAAACATCTAGCCAAAGGTGAACCAAGCAGCTGCTTTATGAGAAAAGTTTTGGATATTTTTCAGTAAATGTAACAATGTTATGTTACTTACCAGTGTATCTGCAATGTTCTTAGAGGTGTTATCCAAAATTTAAGGTGCTGAACTGCATGTCTGTCTTCCTGTGAACTTTCTTTTAAAGAAAGTAAGGAAGAGAGAAGTTGCTTTAGATAAGTGTTACTTTGAACTGTCTTCAGCTGCTCCAAGCTATCTGCTCTAAAAGCCAATTATTTCTGACACTCCTTAACATAGTAAAACCTTCTGCAAATGACAGCTTTATTTTTCAGCTACCCAAATCATATGGCACAACTGCTTCTCAAATAAAAAAGCCTCTCTTTAGTGGACATATTTATGTGAAAGCTATGAAAATTTTACTGTACAACTGATAGATTGCCAGGGCCAAACATACCTTCAGACAGAATGTGTGAAATTGATTGTGTCAAGTGATTGTTCCTACTGCTACCAAGCAATGAGAGTCACTCTGGTTTTGCTGTTCCATAGAAATTATATTACATATGCTTGTTGCATCTCACATCTGAAATTTATGTTAAAACTAAATTTTTTTCAAAAGCAGGCTTTTTGTATAAGTTCATTGGCAAAGTTAGACAAAAATGTTTTAAATATAAATATGCTACTTAAATATTTTCATTCATATAAGCTTTCAAGAAAAGCTTCAATAGTTTTTCCTGTTGGAGTACCTTGGTAACCAGGTTTCTGATTAGATACTATGTTGGACATGAAAAGGCAGCTTGAGATTTCTCAGCTGCAGAGACAGAACAGATCCCTGAGGACGGCCATGAGACTGGCTTGCTTGGGAAGGCCGAGCTGAGGGTGAGACTCTACCCTCAGCTTGATCCTGTATGATAGTCAGGGGTGGTACCAGTAGAAAGCTCAGGTTTTCAAGAATCTGCTGTAGGAAAAACAGGCATCTGGACTATGTCTAGCGCTTACTGAGAATTTTGCTCTTTTTGACAGTTACTTCCTGTAGCATATGGTTGGAGCTGTCCTAAGAGCATCAAGTTATTTTAGAGAGGAAAGGAAGGGGATAGACAGAAGTACTGGGTGAAAAATAAAATGTGTACTTCCGTTCTTCACTTAGAGTTTATTTGTGGCTAAAATGTTGAGGAAAATAATTGAATGACTTTTTTTTATTCTCCTTCTAAATTCTATAGTATTCATTGCTTTTATGTACTCTTCTAGTTAGTGGCCATGTTTGTAATTGTACATATGTGAACTTGGAACTTTTCTTGGGCAAGCTAAAGCTTGCATCGTTATTAATTTAAAACCAGGATGGCAAAAAATAACTTCCTATTTTAAACATAGCACCTTTGACAGTGTCTTGAGTCAAGGATTTTAGAGTGTTAAGAGGGAAATTGCTTCAGACCAGATATTGTTCACAGCAATTCTCAGTTGGACTAAGTAAGTTACAAAGTTACAGTTTCTTAGCCAAACTATAGCTTTCCTTTCTGGCAATATCATCCACAGATGCATGCAATGACATGTCTGTAGTACCAGCAGTACCATTGGATTTTATCTTGCATGCATGTAGTCCTTCAATCCAGTATCCTGTTTATCTTCCTATAGGCAGCTGTAGGTTGTGTTAGTCTTTAGGAGTTCACATTAACAGAAGAACAATAACTGCTTCTTTCCTAATCAGTTTTGAGCACCTTTTCACATAGCAGTAATTTCCTGTTATTACTTGGGGATTTTGCATAAACTAAATACTACCTAGTTGTCTGCATTGGCTATCTCACTCTGGCCATTCAATGTTAGCATTTTTTGTCTGATACATGCATCTGTATTAATTTCTATATTTTGTACTCTTCCACCCTGTTTGCCACTCTCATCTCTCCATGTGCATTTTTAATTCATTTATTGAAAGATCTTGGTACATCATAAAATAAGTGAGAAACATTTGTCTTTAAACTTATGTACATAGCAGTAGGGTCCAGTAAAAAGATTTAGGATGCGCTTACAATGCATTACAGTGTAACGGTGTCTCCATGTTAAGCACGTGGTGGAAATATGCACAGACATACAATAGCTACAACTATGTGGACTTTTTTTTAAAACAGAGGACTTGGAATTTGGTAAAGGAACATCATACCTGAGCTGTGTGATGAGAGAGTGTGTGAGCCATGAGACATGATAGCAATGTGGATGAGTATGTTCACAGACGTAGTAATTTCCTGGTCTAGTTCATTCATGCTTCAATTTGTCTACAATCCTAATGACTTATTTGCGAACCTATAGCTTCAAGAATTCTCTTCTAGTACAGTACAGTAGATGTAGTTGGGTTTTATTAGATGTGCTTTTGGTCCCCAGAATAGTTCAAAGAGAATATGGTCAGGAGTAGGAGTCCAAATTTTCTTCAGGCCACTCTGGAAAGGATGTGGACCCTGACCACTGTGTTAGGTGCTACATTTTGAGATACACATTTTCTTTGTATTTTCTGAGACCAAAGTAGCTAAAATTATA